AACACTTCAACTTCCTTCCCAGCGTTCCTTTTTGTGCCATAAGCAAAGAATCCTCCCCTTATTATGCTTAGACAAAATCGCCGAAATAGTTGAGCAAAATGACGTTATGTGGGTGTTTCTCATATTTTGTCGCTTTCCGCCCTACATCATGGAAGAATAATGGTGATTACGCCGATGCAGGTACAGTGAATTGAGCCACTACAACCACCTGAGAATTGTCAATCAATAAACAACTTGGCAAAGCTCCAGTGGGGCGAAGTCAGCAGTGTATGGCCACGATGGTGCATCTGTAAGATTTCCAACTATGACATAATCCGAGTTATAGCGGTTTCTCATCTGCAGTGGGCTCTATGTTATATAGAGTTTTCAAATTGTAATTGTGTATTACTTTCCATAATAAAGAGTGTACAAGCTGTCTACTTTGATTCAGAACCATAACAGAAAGAACCAGTCAAAGAGAAGCTGCAAGTCAAGAAACCCGAAAGAATGGGATTTCGAGAAGTTTTTGTCTGCTTGAACAATATTCACTCAAAAGCTTTTCATTGACCACTTCACCTGATTGATGATTGTTAAAACTACTTCCTTGTTTTTCTTCGAAAAGCTCAAAACCCCCCATATTAGCATGTATAAATAGTGACAGCCGGGAAAACTCGCGCCAATCCACCACCTCCCGCTACCCGTTCGGGATGTAATATGTCAAGTGGCGCAGTTTTGGTTGTCACTAAGAGCACATCTGCAGTGGGCTCTATATCGTACGTAGTTATTATGTAATTATTATCACCTATTATAATAAAGAATGTACAAAGTGTTCTAATTCAGAATCATAACAAGAGAGAACCTTTTAAGGAACTGAAGCTGGAGGTCCGGTAAACGCACCCCAGCCAACCGGATCGCAATATAGCGCCGGGTGGGGCAACTAGGGCAACTTATTTACAGCTGCATCAATCTCTTTTTCGTATAAAACAGGGATCTCACCTGTATTCACAAAAGAATGCAAGAAAGTAGTACTTATTAACGAGTCATTTAGGAAATTAAAGTAGA